ATATTATATATTAGTGTTATTTAAAATTTTTTTGTCAGTGTTAGACTAAATGAGACAAGAAATCCAATGAGGGATAAGACCTTGAACTGAGGAACTATCAAAGATTATGACAAAGAGAGAGGCCAGAGAGCTAGTTTGGAAATTTTTAAAAGGCTCAATGAGCTGAAAGAAGGGAGTGAACAAAATCAAGTTCATTCTTAAAGATCAAATTCATTGATAATTATTATTAAATAATGAAACATGTCATAGGAACTATGTCCTTCCAAGATCCTTTTATTTTTGTCCTTTGATATTTTCTGCCAGTAAAAAAACATATACATTGCGATCCTTCTGTGTTCATAACTACTGACTTCACTAAAAATTTACATGTGACAAATACAGTCTCATTAGTCTTTAAAGAGTGGAATTCAACTGGTTGCTTATCCTGTGAAAACACTAAGAGTTGACTTTGCAGTTCTAATATCAACAGAATTTTCCTCTCAATAACCAACACACCACAGCATGCAATACAGTTACTTATGCTCTCATGTTATCACATAATAAAGAGAATAGTAAATTTACCACATCAGCCTTCAAGTAATTCGAAATTGTATTATACCACTAAGACCTTTGAGTATGTCAGCAAAATTATTTTCATGACAAAACTTTCTTGATAAAGAAAGTTGTGCACTTATAATCTGCTCCAGGTTATTTCCTAGTCACTACAGGTAAGCCTCTAGAATAGGCTTCTACACAACACAACTAACTCCAGAGGACATTTAATCTACTTTAATTTAATCCTTCTTAGTTTAAACAGTTTAGAGCTAGGGATGTTTGTGAGGAATAGATCTGAAAAGAAAATTTTCCTTCGTTTCATCATGATGTTCAAAGGTTGCATATTTATAAAAAAAAATCTGCATTCATCAAGTTGTAAGAAAAAATACTTTGGTGCTTTATTTGTTCTATAATTGATCGTCCGTATCATTAGCGAATGTATTGAATGCAGTGAACTATGGTATCATCTGGGCTCAGGGTCCCCTCTGAACTCACTCCAGTTATTGGCCAAACTCAGTTCCCTGCTGTTGTAGGCTAAGGTCCCTTCCTATCTCACTGATTGTTAGCTGGGTAGAGCTCTCAGCTCCTGCGAAATGATGTCAGCTCTTTGTCCAGTGGTCATCTCCATCTCAGCAATGTCAAATCCTTCTAACTCCTTGAGTCTCTCTGACTTTGTTCTACAACCAGACAGAGAACACTCTCTGCCTTTGCAGGGCTCCTGTGTTTACATCAGGACTCCCAGGATAATTACTGTTTCCTGAAAGCCATTGTTCAATAGAACATAACCCAGTTACAGGAGAAAAATCCATCATATTCGGTGCCCCAGGATTATCCAGGACATGCACATGGGAAAACCCTACAGACGTGGCAGTGGGGGTGCAGATTTGACCTACTACAACCCTTCATTTTGCAGGGACTCTTCTCATGTTAATCCTTCCCAGAGACCATTTAATTTTTGGAAATTAATTTTTGGAAATGGGAAATCCTTCCCATTTCAGCCATTTAATTTTTCATCTCTAAAACTTCCAATAGGTTCTTTTTAAAAAATCTTCCATTTTTCTCATTATGTTCACTGTTTCTTTTAGATTGAAAACATCTTGTATATATAATAGCTGTTTGAATGTGCTTATTTGATAATTCTGCAATCTCTGTTCTTTGGAATCTGTTCCTATTGACTATTTTTTCCTCCTGTTTATTCATCATGTTTTCCTGCCTAAAAAAAAAATTATTGGATGATTAATGTTGAATTTTATGTTTTTTGGGGAAGAATTTTTTGTCTTCCTTTAAAGAAAGTTGGGACATAGCTCTGACAGAAAGAAAGTTAAGCAACTTATAGATTGGTTTGGTGCTGTCAAGGCTTGTTTTTGAGGTTTCATCTTATGAATCTGGAATAGCCTTTGTTTTAAGGCTAATTTACTCCCATTGCTAAAGTGTAACTCTTCTGCAATTTCTACTGAATGCCACACTGCGCATATTTAGTTAGGTATCTTTAATTTGCAGATGATACTTAAAGAAATGTGATGGAAAATAAATATAAAAGCTACATTTTGTTCTCATTAGCCAGATATAAATACATCATATCGTATCTCCATGAAACCTGAGGTGCATACTTGTTTATTTACAATAGCATTATGGATCTCTATTGTACAACATGATGAACTAAGAATACCCAAACAGGTCAGGAGATGAGGTCAGTATTACCTTTGTAAAAAGAGTGGGCAAAGCTCTGCTCAGGAATTAACTTGGCAAGGAATCCATGGTTCAAACTTGGATGAGGAATAGATGGTATGACCACAACTGTGGAGAAAATCATGGGATCAAATTTGAGCCAGCATGTAACAACCTGAGACATGGTCCACTGAGATACATGACAATTTTATATTACTGCAACATGCAAACAGTGCTAGCAATAAAGACTGCATCTCTGGGGGAAGGAAAGGGATTATAATTCAGACAAAGGAAATAATATACTTGTTAAGTCATTTTAGCAACATACAAAGAGTCATACAAGCACACAAGAAAATCAGAACTGGTTTTAGTGAAATGGCAATTCATTAAAATAATGCTCATTTTTATACATATATGACTGATATGAATGCATTAAAACAAAGAAAAAGTTGATTAAAATAACAATCTTGGTGCTGTGTTTTAAATGGTCAAAAACATAAAGTGGAATGGTAAAATAATGTTTAATCTGAAGAATAAAGTTAAAAGTAAAAGTATATGCCAATGAAATATCATGTTTATGTGTTTAAAGTAAATATAACATGCAACAGCCAAGTATTATAGCTAAAACACAATCCGTATTTCCACAACAGCAGTTAAAGCTAAATGAGGTATGGTATGCTTATGGAAAACAAAATGCAGAGATTTGACCACTAATTTCTACTCTCTTTAAAAAATATCCATTTTATTTATATACCATATGCATTTATTTAGTAAAGACAATTTCAACACAATTTAATCCAGGGGTACATGAAATAACCACTGGGTTATCTAGGTTACACTGCAAAAAAACAAAGAAACAACCTTTATATAAACACCTGACAGGAAATGTTATTGCTAAAAGTCATCCCATGATTTAAAAATATTAGTTGCCAGAAAATGTGTTAATCATTTTCAAGCAGAGTAGGCAAAGCTGATAATATAAGAACTCCTACAACATGAGCATCTTCTGAAGATAAGAAAGACAACATGACCCAGGATGGTTCACTGTTGTCTATAAGTCTTTGATTTTAGTTAAAGCAACTTTGGTGTAAAGTTTAGAATGTGTGTTTGTTTACTATGAATCTCTGATAGAATACTGATAGAATATGTAATATGAACTATTTTGAATATAGAATATGTTGAATATAAAATACTGATTGTTAGATACTGAAATAACTACACAGTGAAATAAAGAAAGAGGGGAGGGGAGGCGAGGGGGGAGAGAGGAGGGAAGGAAAAAAATAATGCTACCTTCGAACCTGGCTATAAAGATTGATTTATTTTATATATTATATATTTATTATATTTTTGGCTTAAACTACTCCATTTGAACTACTCTATAAAGACCTCCTAATTTCATGTTTATAAAGGTTAAAAAATAATACATTTAAAATATCAGTTATTTGCATATTAAATAGTAGTAGAAATGGTTTGTATTAATAAATGGAAAACACGAAAAACAAAATGAGACTATAGCAAATACCATAGAACTATCATTCATATATTTTTGAGGAATTGAAGAATATTAAATTGTCATTCATATACCATGTACTTATAAATATGATTATGAATAGGACCGATTTAAATCTGGATGTAAAAATGAAATAAAAAGGAGGTAAATAATGGAAATTCAAATAATTCAAAAAATATTCAGTACCTGTACTTGTGGGAGAATTTATTTCTTGTCTGATGTTTCTACCTGGTTGGCTTCCAGTTCTTGCAGTTTCTCGCTGGGGTTCTAATATATCACGATACTTGGAAACCATCAGAACCGAAATGAAGTAAACAACAGCTAGAGCTAAGAACTGCGCCTGCTTGCTGTCATCCTGTGTAAAATGAAAAGGCAGTTTTGACACTCAAAATTTTTGACATGAAAGTTCTTAAGAATACAAATAACTATTCCTATTTCATTTTCTTTATGAAGGCAAAAAATGATATTTGACTTTTATTAAAACATGCTAAATATATACTGATATTCAACAAGTATCATTTAAGTATAAATACAAAACCCCAGGAATACATCATCTGAGTTATAGGTTGAAATGCAATTTCAAACAAGGAGAATGTTAAAGTTTTGCTGAACATGCCACAAAATGTTATTCTTTGTCCTCTTCACCATTACCATCCATTACTTACATAACTCAGTATGTATATTTATAAACTATGCAGATGACACAGGTTACAAAGAATAATTTAATGCATCTATTATAAAAACAAAGAGTTTTAAGTGTTATAAATGAAAAATTAATAGAATAACATTACAACTGGAATACACATACGATTCATAACATCTGGGCAGGGCTCTATATAATATAGAGTGCAAAGCAGGGGAAATATAAACAACGGAGAGCATAAAACATAAATTTTGTATCACCTTAATAAGAGCTAGAAGGGTGATATGACAGCTTAAGAAAAAGCTAATGCAATCTTTGTACAACCAGGTTAAGAAGTGCCAAGTCCCAATATTCTGCACTGGAAAAATAACCACTAAAATACTGTCGATATTTGAGGCCCCTAATTTCAAAAGCTCAATGACAAATGGAGTTCTTCCAGCAGAGAAGAGGAAAGTGGTAAAAAGTCTGACAGGGATCAGTCTAGTTAGGATAGAGAGATAATAGTTTTAAAACAGCAGCTCTTGCAGTCTACTAGAGAAAATAACTTTATCATAAATATGCTTTGCAAAAATATAAAGAGCTGCATATTACCTTGAGAAATCTATCCAAAAAGCCTAGATAACCATCTTACAGAAAAAAACTGTTAAGAAGGCAAATTTATATGACCTCTAGTAACACTTCCAAAATAGATCACTTTTACGGAATCAAGTGTAAGTGGGTATAAAGCCTTTTTCTAAGCTAAGTAAAACTGATACTTCCAATCAAAACTGCAAGTAACCACTGTGCCCACCCATAACAGGTAAAAACATTAGTATTAAAGAAATAAGGAAAATAAACATGCATTAAAGTCTAGTAACTCCACTAATGGGCACTTTATACTTATTACTTCATTTAAGCACAATGTGAACAAAATTCAGAATTGATGTGCATTTGTCAGAAAAGAAAGCAAACAAGAAACATTTATGATTGAATACTATGAAACAGAATTAGTACAGCTAATGGAGAAAACAACCAAATAGATTAAATTTGTTAGGAAATATGAATTTAGTATTTCATGCTCTGTGGGTGACAGCTTTTCTAGACATACACTTTCTTATGAAGTGCTTAAATGCAGACTCCTTGCATTACAATGCCTATGAAATAAATATAGAGAGAAGGGGCAAAATCAAATACTTTAATGGTGATTAGAAAGGAAATGAGTACAACCATACTAACAAAAGATATAGACCAAGAATAAATTCAAACACAGCTAAGCTGTGATAGACCATAATATCCCACAACTCTTTTATTTCCACCTCTGGGAACTCAGTACCAGGCAATTAGAAGGCATTCAACAAATAACGTGTAGAATGAATGAATGTCAACTGCAAAGGTACAGAGCTGCAAATAACAGATACTGTAAATTGCTGTCCTAGCCAAGCTGAAATCTCTCTTATTTATGGCATGAAAACAGGTGTCTTTTCTTTTCAAATCCAAATCTGCAAACTAATTGTGCTTCTTACTCCCAATTTTATCTTTGAAAACGAAGAATATACACACAGGCTAAACATCAGGAGAATGACTAAAGTTTTATACAAATTAATTGACTCGCCTAGGTATTTTGTTATTGTGAAGACATGAATTTTATTATGTTTCTCCCATCTGCTTAAGAAACGGGGCTCTCCACTATTCAATCTTTAATCAGTAATATAACTAA